CACCCTCACAGTCCCCAGTTACCCCATGTCCCAAGACAAAGTGGCCTGCAGAGTGTACGCCACAGCCCAGGACTGGCTGAACCCGGCAGAAGCCAGGAGCACCCAGAGTTTTAGATGTACCCTGCCCACTTAAGACCTGTGAGGGCTCAGCTCCTCCAAGGCCTGGAGGCCTGGGCAGGGGGTGGCCGAGTCTCCACTCCCAACAACTGCAAGGTAAGCACAGGCCCGGCTCTCACAGAAGGCCTGAGCTCATTTTGGCCACGGTCCCGGGGGAGAAAACAGTCACAGCCCTGACTAGTTCTCAGACAGACACTGGTTCCCTCCCGGCTCACATGACTGGTCTAGCCCCAACCTCTTCCCCGGCAGAGGGTTCCCAGGCTGAGGGCGAGGAGGCCGGGAGGGAAAGAGGAGGTGTAAGGCAACTGCTGGCAAGAAGAGGGAGCCCAACCGACTGTGCTTGCCCGGCGCTGAGGCCCGCCTTGCTCATCGTCCCTGCCCTCCACCTGCCCCGGCGCTCAGCGAAAGCCCAGACCTCGGTCTGTGTGTGCGAGGAGACAGGAGCTCCCCCGGCTGGAGCTGGGGAATGGGGCACCTTGTGCTTTGCAAAGGCTTCCACCCGCCCCCAACTCAGAGTGAGCAAGCAGAACGAGGCTGGGGACATCGGAGCGTCCGAAAGGGGCTCCCTGCTAACTCGCAGCTTGCTCAGAGGGTGGGGAAGGATGTGTGCGATTGGGGGGCTGGGGTCAAGGGTCACCGGGAAGGGTGCATTGATTTGTTGAAGAAGGCAGCATATGAGGCCTGGCAGTGGGACAGTTGAGAAGCCCAGTTTTTTTTGTTGTTTTTTGTTTGTTTGTTTGACATGCTACATCACTGTTGAAAACAAACAAAAACATTTCAAAAATAATATATAATATATATATATATATAATATATTTATATAATGAAAAGCTATTGACTAGCAGCAATGATTCTAAAGTTATCTTAGCACCAAGACCAGGGGACAAGGGGGAGGGAATCTGTGAGGAAGAAAGGGACTGGCAGGACCAGGAAGGGACGCAACATGTTCAGTGTTGGTGACGTTTCCACTGTGGTTGTGAATGGTGGCACAAGGCCTCAGAGACAAGATAAACCACGAAGGGAGGAAGCTACCGCAGTTCTCGAAGGGGTGAGCACCCCGCCTGTGGGCCAGGAGCCTTGCCCGTGGCTGGAGCTCACACCCTCGGTCAACTGAGAGAGCAGCTCCCACAGAACTGAGAGTGGACAGATAAGCCGATCTTCCTCCCTTCCTGAGGACGACCTGTGCCTCTGCGTTATAGGATCTCTGCAGATAAACTGTGCACAAATCAGATGTCAGAAGAGGAACAGAAGTTCTGAACAGCTTACGCACATTTCTGAAAACTCCCCTGCGAGGTATACTGGTAGTTGAATGAATGACAGAGCATTGATCAGACTCCTCTAGCTTAAACCACTACTTGCCTCAGGGAGCAGGCAAGTGGCCGTATCTAAAGCTTATACTGTGGTTGTGTGGCTGTGTGGTTGTGTGACTGTGTGTGTGTGTGTGTGTGTGTGTGCAGGCTGACGCCTTGAGAGCCCCGTCTTACTGCCTGTTCTCTCTACCCTGTTCAGAAAGGGAAGAGTTCACAGGCACAGAAACACTGTCCAGTCTCCCACAGCCCTCTTGCCAGGCTGTGGAGCATGTCGTCAGCTTTAGCGACCGAGAAGGGTGACCTCCCCAGGGACTCTCACTTAGGTCGTGCACAACCCTGGACACACCTTGCATTGACGGCTCCTGCCCCTGAACCATGAAGCAGGTGCTTCTTGATTATTAAAGGAAAACAAAATACTCTCGACACATTATAGGATTATAAAGACAAAATATAAATAATGCACGTTAATTGAATATATACTTTTCATTTTACTTGTTTTTAGCCAGAAATCGCTGCCCTTGTGGGGCCTGCATTTCTTGGCTTTTCGTCTCACCCGCAGCCCTGGGTGTGAATGGGATTCTATTGCTTTGTCCTCCACCACGCATAAACAGGAATGCAGAAAAAGCTCATCCCTTCTTCCTCCCCCTAGATTTCAAGCTCGGCGGGAAGGCAGTGTTGCCTTCCGAAGAACAGGTAATATCTGTAGTGTCCAGGGGTCTGAAGGAGGAAAGCAACACCCAGGGAAGGCGCAGGCGGCAGAGGGAAGCAGATGGGCTCACAGTTTGACCGAGGCTATTGTGTGTAGGACAGTGAAGGAACCCTCGTCAGGAAACGAGTAAAACTCTCTCGGAAGGAAAATCCAACACCCTAATCCAGAGACACAACCCACCCCGGGGAAATCAGAGATTGGCTGCAGCCCAGACCAGTGTCCACAAGAGGTGAAGGGATCCCCATCCTATGAAAGAAAAAAGGCAAGAACCGAAACCCAAACCCAGCCCAAAGCCCCTGAACCCCAAACGAAAACAGAAACAAAACATGCTACCTAACGGTGATGACAGAGACCCGTCATTTAGCTTATGCCGTTGGGTGACTGGTAGGTGGGGACCCGTGCGGCCCCAGCGCACGCTTCTGTGAGTGGAAATGAGTCGCCGTGTATGTTGCAGCTGCCGAATGTAGTCAAGAGTCAGTTTCTGACGTTATTCTTTTCTGAAAGCTCCCAGTAGCTTCTGGTGGATGTATCACCTTGGTTTTTAAAAATTTTCAGTGTGAGTTTTTATATATATATATATATAATAATAATAATATAATATAATATATATATTTATATAATATATCAAAGCTTATGAGTAGAGATTAAAAAAATATTCAACAGCTTAGCGAACTCTGCAGTGCGGGTTTCCTACATGTCTGGGTAAAACATGGCCCTGTGGTCCACGGTCTGCACCATGGGCTTCTGTTCCAAGGTCGACATCCTGCTGAGGACCTCAGCCGACAGTGCATAACTGTTGCCAGACTTCTCCTCAAACCAGCTGTCCAGGGCTCGCTTGGCATCAAAGTTGGCGATCGGGGGTCCATTGACGGCGATTGTCAACAGGTCACTGAGCTGCTCCAGGGTGAGGCGGGAGCGGTGGTTTTTGCGGACCCGCTGGAGGGCGGTGCGGCCTTTCTCACAGCAGGCGGTGGAAGTGGGGAGGACTTTGAGGACCTGGATGACCTTGTTTAAGAGTGGAAACCTCTGCTTGTATTTGCAAATGTGGCCGATCAGGTCCTTGAAGCCGTTTTTGGTGTAGTAATCGGCCTTGAGTTCTCGCCACTCCATCAGCAGGCTCCCCCGAGGGTCCAGCCCTTCCCTGCAGACATCCCGGGAGAAGGTGGGGATGGCTTCCAGGTGGTCAAATATCTGCACCATGTCCTCCTTGCCATAGCTCACCAGCTCCTCACTGCTCCTGGGCCAGGTGGCCAGGTCAAACACCTGGCAGGCCTTCACGAAGATCCGGCTCCGGGAATCAAACCTCTGCGCCAGGATGACCTGGGTCTTCTGGCAGATCTTCTCCCTGATGGACTGGAACTTGGCTTCTGCCACCCTGAGGTTCTTCATGGCGATTCCATTGAAGCTCTCCCGGAAGTTCTCCTCAAACTCCTGCAGGTACTCACCCGGGGAATCGGCCAGGCGGCTGATCTCCTGGATGGCCTCCTCGATCTTGTCATCCACCTGGGACACCAGGAGGTACTCGCCCTGGAACACGTAGGCCAGGCGTGACAGCACAGCGATCACATCCAGCAGGAAGTAGATGAGCTTGATGGACTGGTAGTCCAGGAGGAACTGCAACAGGGCCAGCGCGATGGCCGAGGCGTCTGCCCGCTGCGTCTGGCTGCTGACGTCCTTGAGGTGGGCCACCACCTCCAGGTAGTCCTTGATGAGAGCATTGAGAACATTCTGCTCGCCGATGATCCACCGCACAGCACGGATGTCACCCAGGAACTCGGTCTCCTCACAGAGTGTAGAGGCAGTGGAGCGCAGCTCGCACATGAGGCGCGGCGAGTAGCGGTAGAAGCTGAGCAGCTGCTTCAGGTTGTTCTCCAGCTCCTCCAGGCAGGGCAGCTCCTTCCCACTGATGGCGTCTAGGATCTCCAGGTGAGGCCGGTGCACCATGAAGGGCAGGCATAGCAGCCAGGGCAGCGTCTTGCGGATGGTCATGAACATGCTGGCACGCAGGCTGGCTGTGATGTTGGCCCCATCCACACCCAAGCCCACAGTGGGCTTCTCATCCTGTAACCGGATACCCAAGGCCGAGAAGGCCCGGTCCAGCGCCTGGAGATAGCTTTCTGTGCTGGAGAAGCCCAGCTCCTGCAGGGACAGGAACTCGGTGGCCGGGGGCCCATCACTGCTGGTGTACTGGACGTAGACAGCCAGTGTGTCAGCCAGCAGGTCGTCACTCTGGCCGTCCAGGATGATACTGAGATAAGGCGACTGGCGGATGCGCTCCACCAGGTCTTCCCGCAGCGCGCGGGCGATGTGATGGATGAGGATCTGGCAGTCCCCCTCGTTCATGTACTGGTCCACCACCTTGAGCTCGCACTTGCGCAGCAGCTCAGCCAGCGGCCGGAAGTCCAGGTAGGGCCTGCCCTCGAGGGCCAGGTGGTAGGCGGTGTTGAAGAGCAAGGTCATGTTGCGGCACATCTCCTCCGTCTTCTCAGGGTGCATGCGGAGCTTGTAGAGCTGCAGGCACTTCTTGTGCAGGTTGCTTTGGCTGTGCAGTTTGATGGTGTGGATCTTAAACTGCTTGGAGCCGATGATGAAGGCCGAGGTGCGGGACGACTGCACGGTGTACTGGCGGCACACGTGGCACCACATTTCATTGAGGGTGGGCGAGTACCGCAGGAACCAGAACTTCTTCAGCCACTCCTGCTTGAAGCGCCGGATTCGGCGCCCCGTGGCTGAGGACATCTTGGAGGGCTCGTCGGTCGCAGTTATCATATCATTGGAGACGGATTCATCTGCGGAATCGACCTCCTGATCGTCGTCCTCCATGATGGCAGGGCCGGACACCATGCTCTCTGAGGCTGCAAAACAAACAGGAAAGAAGCATTTACACCAGGTGGGGAAAACAGATTTTCCCAAAAGGAACAGCAAACACTGCCCGGAAGTACGCCACGCTGTATAAAATCAAGTCCAGTGCAGCCTGTAATGGATGGAATCCCAGCCTAGAATTCATGTCTAAGCGCTCCTGTTCTCCAGCATGACTTTTCCTCTTTGTGGATTATCTCCTCCCAGCCCCGCCACGCTGCAGGCTGCCTGCTCTCACCTGCCACTTGTGGGTGCTGGAGGGACTTAAATGTCCCCTGTCAACCTGACAGCATGAACTGGAAGAGAAGGTCTGATGTAGGGGAAGAAAGCACACCACACGCCTCTAGGTCATCCCTGGAGGCCTGGGACTCGTACGCCCCCCACTGATGTGGTCAGGGGAGGCAGGCTGGACTGAAGGCAGCCCGGAGGGGACGCCAAGGGACTTCAAGGCCAACATGTAGCTTCCTTCAGATGCATCTCTGAAGATCTGCACCCTCCCCCATCCTGAACTAAGGGGTATGGCAATGCCCTGCAACCCCTGGGCGCCAGGCTGGGGGACTAAGATCGTGTAGGGCAGAACAGATTCCAGAAAAGAAGGAGGCTGTGTTCCTTGACTCAGGGGAGCCATAAGAACCCCCCAGAAGGGCACCCTCCCTCGGGCCTGGGGTGAGAGAACTCGGGCTTTAGGGGAAGGCACCAGCCAGACCACCAGAGACGGGCAACGGGTCAAGAACACAGCACACACCCCTCCTGCAGCGGAACTTCCTTTATTGACACGGAGGATACAAGGGCGACACGCAAACCATCCACCAGAGCTGCAAGCAGGCCTGCCCCTGGCACCTGAGGACGCTGGCTCCCACCGGCTCCCACCCATGGAGGTGGCCACTGGCGCACTGCACTCTTCGCGTCTGCCGGCAGGTGGCGCCAACACGGAGCTCTAGGCCACCCTCCGCACAGCCCGCTGTGCTCTTCCCTCTGACAAAGCTCTCATCCAGACCAACTTACCTGCGGGATCTGAGAACTCTGGGATCTCCAGTACCTGTGGTGGCAAAACGGGGGGCTCGGGAAGCTTCCCAGACTTAAGCATGTCTAGTTCTGCCTGGAGTTCTCGGACCTTCTTCTTTAGGCGAATACAGTTAGGGCAAAAGGAGGTGGTGGGAAGCTCATGAGGGTCGGAAGCAAGGGAGGCCTCGGCGGGACTGTCGGCCTTGAAGGACGCCGGCTCCTCCTCTTCATCCTCCAAAGGACCCGGCTCTTTGGCAACCCCTTGGGGGATCTTCCAGTCCCCTTCCTCCTGGGTCCGGCTGACGTTCTGCCCGCCATGGGTCATGGCTGCCGCACACCGGCCGTAGGCGTCGTCCTGGTACTTGGGGACTTTCCGGATGACCAGCGAGGTGCTCAGGGCCAGCTGGTGGGCTTCCACCTTCGCCGATTCCAGGGAGGCCTCCAGCACATCCTTGAAAATGAGGTCGATTTTCTTCTTCTTGGTCTGGGGATGCACATCCCCCTCGTCAAAGCCTCGCTTGTAAGGACTTTTGCCCTGTCTCAACACGGGAAGGTGAATGGGACCCCTCAGGTCTTCTGGGTTATCCAGAGCCTGCTCAGACTTCTCCCTCTGCAGCCTCTTCTCGCCTAGGAAGGAAAACCAGGGTGTAAGGACGTGGGGAAAAGCCCCCAAAGGAGAAACCGACAGAAAAAGCTCTGGCCTTCTGGGGTGGGTGTGCCGAAATGGAGAGGTAGATCGACTGGAGGATTCGGGGAGCTAATCATAGGACCCAGAGAGCAGAAAGAGTTCTCAGGAAAGGACAGTTCTGAAGAAGCCTGCTGCATAGAAGCTGTGCACTTACAAGGTGAGCGAAGTCTACAGGGGAGGGTGACTGGACATTCTTTCAAGAGATGCGCCACCCCAGGCGCCATCCTAGAAGCCAATATCCTATCCAATCAGACAGGGTAGACGGCAACGTCCCAAGGGACCTCCAAGGAAATCAGTGACTCAAAGCTATCAAATAGCGTAAAAATGTTATGGATTCCACACCTCGGAGGCTTCCCCTCCAGCCTCTGCAATGAGAAAACGCTGCTTGGTCTTGGTAAAAGGTACACAGGGCACGCCAACAGCCTCACTGCACCCGGCTGCTCTGGAGACAGCCCGCTTAGGGAAACGTCCAATTCTTCTGGCAATCAGAAGTCTGGGGATATGTGAGAATGTGTGATCAGGAATCCTGTGGCTCTCAGTGACGACGGATGCTGGAGGCAGACGAGAGGAAGAGACGCCACAGCAGCTAAAGGCTCCAAGGTGGCAGCCTCCAGCAAGGCAACGGACAAGGTGGCCACAGTGACCCACAGCAGTCCCCAAACATCCCTGTTTCTTTACCTGACCAAAGATGTGTCTTTTTCCATTTTTCTCTATCATGTGAATTATTTCAATTCACTATTTTTTTTTTTTTTTTTTGAGACAGAGTCTCACTGAGTTGCCCAGGCTGGCCTTGAACATGTGATCGATCCCTCTTCCTCGCCTCCCAAGGAGCTGGGATCACAGGTGTGCACTGCCGTGCCAGGCTCAATTGGCTTTTCATTACTGTGAATTAATCCACAAGCTCCGGTGAACTCCCCAGTAATACATGATTTGAGCCTGGTTCTTTATAAACTGGACGGCATGGTATCACAGACTGCTGCACAAGTGTTGATATTCCCCGGGGGAGTGATGCTAAGAAAGCAGGGCTGGGTCTTCGGCCCTCAGACTATGACATCCACCTGGGGGGGCTGGGAAATCTTAAAGGTTTCCTAGAGCAGGTGTCTTGAGTGATGCGACTCAGACCTATGATGTGATCTGAATGGATGCTGCGGCTGGATTTGCTGACGGCCGTGAGTGAGGGCCAACAGCCCCTGTGAGCCCTTCAGATACCCAGGCTTGGCTGGGTATCAAAGATGGCATGGGGTGCCAGGCCCTGCCCCAGGTCTGACTCTGGGTTTCCTACAGGTAAGAGCTTAACCTGTTCAAGATATCCCTTCTCTGTCCTCACCTGAACGCTTAAGGAACAGCTTCCTTCCCAAGGCTTTAGAACCTGGGTGGCCCAGCCTGCATTTTTGTAGCCGCTGAACTATAGAAAGAAGAGAGATGAAGGGAACTTCTAAAAAAATGCAACAGATTGGCCATACAGATCAGTTAAGGCACAGGCTCACTCCACATCGCTGAAAATCAGGGGCCACTCTTCCACATCCTCCTGGACCAGGCAGGCAGCAAAGAGCTGAGGATGTTGGGAGCTCCAGCCTGTGAGACCAGGGACTCCTCCTGTCTCTCTGTTCAAGGACCAAGTTACCCACATCACATGAACAGGAGGCCTTTCTACACTTAAGGCTTCCATGAAAAATGTTTGGGCGTGCCGGGGATATAGCTCAGTGGCACAGTGCCTGCCTGGCAAGCGCAAGGTCCTGAGTTCCATTCCTGGTACCAAAAAAAAAAAAAAGTTTGGAAGAACAAATAACTTTTCAACTTTATGAATTTGACTGCAAAGCCTCCGTAAACTATGGGGGTAAACCAACAAAGCAAAACAAAAACCTCCAAGTAAATCAATGATTCAAAATAGATCACATAACATGAAAATATTGAATACAAGCAGGAGATGCACCTTATTCTTTCCAGACACCCACAAAGGAATGATGTATACGCTTTTTCAGGAAGTAGCGCTGGGCTCCAAACCACGTTCCTCCCTAATAAGGATTAATAACTTGTTCGGGCCACCAGCTTCCAGTTACAAAGACACCTCCATCTATGCATGATCTTAAGGGACTGCGCACAGAGAGTAGCATGCCAACCTACGATGCCACCCAAAGTACCCAGAAACTGCTAACACTAAGGCTACAGAGAAACACACTGAAATGCCACAGAGCTCCGGGACTGTCTTGCTGTGCTTTTCCACTTCCTTCCTGCTTCCTACAGCTCAGCCGCGCCAGGGACACACACTGCTTCTTTCTGTGTCTTCACACGTCTCAGTACGCGTCCTTTCCCGCCTGCTTTTCACGCCTCCCTTGAGCCACCATTCCTGAAAGCCCACTCCCTTTTTGGAACAGTGCTCCGGGGCCGCAGGGCTACCGGAGGATGACGTAGCTTGAGGTGTTTGAAAGAAGACACTAAGGGCAATAAGAGATCGTTACAGATCCAGGGGGATGCGAGAAGATCATAGCCAAGGGATGAAACCTGCGTCCTCAGATATGACTTCACTTGGTTGTCTTTTCTTCCAGTGGCGTGGTTCTTTTGGAAACTTCTCGGTTGTCTTCATTCACTTCTCTCTTCTATCCACTCAACAGAGATTTTCTGAGCACCTACCATGGTTCAGACATTTCTAGAGGCATCTCCACAGTCAGATCCTAGAAGCGCACCTTCCCAAGGGATAGCAGCACGTGCCCAACCCCCGCGTCCAAAGAAGACAAGATGTGCTCTGTCTACTGGGTCTCCCACCAATCACCAGATACCTTTTACCAAGCCAGGTAGCAGCTGTGCACTCAACAACGTACTTTGTTCTGGTTTGTCCTTCAAGATGGTTTGATTTCAGCGAGTCACCTCCACCCGCTTCTCCTCGTCTCCACTCATTTTCCAAATGAAGATGCACTGCCATTAGGCAGACGGGTCGGGAACACAGTATTCTGCGGCTTGGGCATAGCCTGGGTTCATAGGTGGCCTTCATGCAAAGAAAGGTCCCCTGGACAGAAGGACGTGGACTCCCCCGTTTACTTGGCCAGGCTGAGGGTGGAGTGGAGATAGGGGCTTGGAGCCGGGGAGTGTTTTCAACCACTTGTTAAGGACTCATTCAAATGGAGCCTGGATGGAGGCCCAACCCACACACCTCACGTCATCCTTCACTTCCTCCTAGACATCTCCAAAAGGGACTGTACTGTCACATCCTACTATTAGGACCTCCCGTGAGGCCAGGAGGAAGCAGGGGAGAGACTGGTTTGAAACCTAGCTCCGCCTTCCTAGCCATCTAATGCGGGTGAGTCACTGTTTATTTAATTCTCTGCTTATCTGTCTGTGAAATGGGGCTAATAATCCACATGGGATCATGAGTATTAACAGTTTAACAGTTTACAACTGAGGACCTCCAATAGTCAAGGCAGGCATTGCACTAGATTCAGAGTGTACCTTCCTCCGCTGAATTCCACAGCACACCTATGGACAGATACTACTCGTGTGATTATCACACAGGAGCACAGAGAAACCCCGACCCGAACACAGGAAGTGCATGTTATCTACTAGTGCTAGGATTATTGAGGCAGCCGCAGTTTGTAATATGTGTTCCTCAGTTTGAACTGGGGGGACAGGATCGGTGTTGATTTAACTTTTTCCAGTGGCTGTGGGGGTTGTCTCTCTTCCCAGCACTCTGAAAGTGTTCGGTGAGACTGTCTCACAGGGAAGAGAACACCCGGAGCTGGTTGCTGCCTGGCCATAGCTGCTCAGGTCTGGCGCATCTGTTCCCCGACTCGGCCTGGGTCTTACCACTCCTGGGCAATGGTATTTCCCATGGGTTTCTTTAGGAAGCTCCTAGAAGAGGGATCCTGGCCTCCCTAGGAGAGTGGGCGTGGCCTCCCTGGCATTTGGGTTTAGCATTTCCAGTGGGCGTGGCCTCACCCAGAACACGGGGGGGGGGGGGGGGGGGGATTTTGGGGGGGGGGGGGAGGAAATCTTCTGGAGTGGGCGTGGCCCGGGCAGAGGTGGGCCCTGGTGGGGTGTGATCTCTCTGGGGTGGTAGAGGCATCTTTGTGGGCGTGACCTCAGATGGGCGTGGCCTCCGGTCGCTTGCAAACTCACCTCTGGCCAGATTGCGGTGGATGGTTTCCTGGGACATGCTGTGCAGGCGCTTCATGTAGTCCTCGCTGTACCAGACCCGCAGCCTCTCCCCAGGCCGGATGTCCCTGCACGCCCGGAAGTAGATGCGCTCGCTGTGTTGGAAGGCCAGTAGGTTCTGCTCCCTCTCCTCCCGGGAGATGACCACGTACCTGAGGACGAGGGGACAGGTGAGAACCACGGGCCACCCCTTGTGGAGGGCCTGCCAGCACTGGGCGCAGGTGGAGGTGATTCCAGTTCCATTGTATCGCAGAGGGGGCTGACAGAGCACCTGCTCTGCTCAGGAAGGAGCACCGGGTATGGGCCAGCCCTGTCCCAAAGCTCCCTGTGACTCCAGTGCTCCAAGAATCTCATCCGTGAGGCTGGAAATGACACCTGCCCCGCCTCCGTCATATGTTACCATAAAGATTCAACACCAGATGTAAAAGCAACTGGAAAACAGCAGTTCATCTCTTACTTTTAGCTGCAGGGGTCCCTGGACTTCCAAGGCCTCTAAGGCAGTAAGGGTGGGGTCTTTGGGCTGTTTTCAGTATTTCACAGCGCCCGGCAGAAGTAACCCACATGATCAAGAGCTCATTTAAAACATGCTAAAGATTAAAATCTTTTACAGAGGGACCCCTGGGGACAGAGGAGGAAGGTAAATAAGAGACAGTGAAAGGCCAGCAACCATTGGTTAATGTAACTCAATGATTTGAGCCAAATGAGGCTCAGAGAGGCAACTTGTCCAAGGTCACACAGCTAACCAAAGGGACATGCAGCTGTGTGGGCTGTGTTTTTCCACTGTAAGTCATAGCTACAATGTGGGCATCTGAAGCACCAACTCAGCAACACCAGGAAACCCTTAAAATTCTGCTAAACTCAGAATCTATGGCCCCCATCCAATACCCCTAAAATGACATTTCCAACTTCCAACCTGCCACCTTCTCCATCTCCAAGAGATCCGAGGATGCTGAGAAGTGGGAGTGTACGCATCAAAGGGCAGAAGGAAATTTTATTCTTTAGGGTCTGTGCTACATAAGCATCTAGAGGATTGGTAGCCAAAAATAAACTTTCCCTTACACTATGGTTTTATTGAAAAGCCTCAAAAGAAATCCAAGTCTATTTGGCTTAGCCTAAGGAATTATATTTGAAATAGTCCAGGAGAAATAATAATTCATAGAAAGAATTCACATGTGTAATGAATAAATGAAAAGTATTAAGCATCACTAACAGGAAAAGAAACATAAAGAAACACATTGTCTCTTTGGCACAGAATTTTTAATGTGAATAATAATAATAATAAAAGTGCCGCAAAAGGCATTTCCCATAGCCACGTTGCAGAATAACCTGCCACAGCCCTTTGGGAAATAAATTGGCAGTGTGGACTCAGAACAAAAAGATATGGAGCAAGTACGCAAGCCCTGCACACCAGCACGCTGGCGGCTTTGTTACTTATAATAGCGCAAAAGCCAAAACATCTGAATGTCGAATGCCAGATGTCTGGTTTAGTAAATGAGGGTACATTCGCTGATGGAACCTCATGTATAGGAAAATTATTTTCAAAGAATCCTTCCTGGCAGAGCAAAAACAGTGCCGGTAATCACGCAGAGGGAGGATAATAGGAGCGAAAGCTGTTTACATCCTGGTTCCAATAATGCTTTAACAACAAGCCTCAGTAAACTGCTTGAAGGAAATACACCAGTGTTTTGACAATGATTATCCATTATAGGGTGGGTCGTCTTCATAATTTTCTGTACTTTTCAAGTTACTTCAATAAGCAATTTTTACTGTTTATCTCTCCCACACACAGAAAAAAAGTCCACGAATGCCAGTAACAGTCTGCAGTGGCACTGGTGGCAGCCACCGTGCAAAGGTGCTATGAATCCACACTGGCGATGCCCCAGCCGCCCTTGCATGCATCCTGCCCTTATCTGAAGAGGCCTTTACACAGTCTCCTGACTCGGCCCTGGAGGAGGGGGTGCCCTTACAAAGGGGTCCAGGGAACAGACAGTGTGGCAGCAGAGTACAGCACAGACCCCAGAGGAAGCAAGGACAAGGCGGATAGGACAGCAGATTCTAACTCTGGCTGCTTCGCCCCCTAGAGAGAAGCAAGGCACAAACCCCACCCTGGGAGAAAAATCAATGGTGCTAAGATCCTCAGAACTTGGGTCTGGTCCAGGCACTTAGCCTCCACGCATCGGGACTCTCCTCCGTATCTGACACGAGCAGTAGCCTCCCCACACTGTGAAATCGGTCTGGTGATTTCCATGCGCCCAGCTGGGATGCCGTTAGCCAAAAATGTAAGGGAAGGGAGAGGACCCCAGTCCCACAGAAGTCATTCCAGGTGACTGCCACTTCCCTAACTCGCCAGCTGCACCATCAGCCTTCTCCCACTTCCCTAACTCTCCAGCTGCACCATCAGCCTTCTCCAGGCACCGAGTTAGTGAGAGACTGGGATGGAACATCCAAGTACACAGCCCCGTGGTTAGCACGGCAAGAACGGACATTACTCCTGATGCTCCCAGATACAAAGAGAAGGCCAACCCTCCACCCCCTTTGTCCTGGAGAGGAGCTCTGTACTCACAGAGCAGCGTGGGGGGAGCAAATACCATTCCCGTCACCCCTTTTTTCAGTTTTGGAACAGCCACCAAGCTCTAAAAAATGCTGAGCTCTTTCCCCATCACTCGGTGTTGAGAGGGAAAAGATAGCTGAGGAACATGTTTCTAACAAGGATGTCTTTCTTCAAAACAGCATCATCTACCACGTGCGGGAAGGTTTGGAAAAACTCGAGGCAGTTTCCCCTTCCATCCCCTGGTGTTTTCTGCCCGACGAGAACCAGTATTCAGATAGAGCAGCCCAAGTCTTTGGATCGATCACAATGTATTTTCAAAGGCAGATCAAAACACCTGGCATTTGAAATAAGACATATATGGCAACTCTTAATGAATCACAATGGACCTTTCCCTCGACACGCTGTCGACACTGTGCCATTTTTGAGTAAAGCTAAATCAGCCAAGTCCCAACACCGATCGCTTCTAATTAGGTCTCCTGTTTTAAGTGTTCTGTGGCCTGACTGGTTCTCGGAGTCCCGCTGTCCCCATTCGTGACAACCCCTTTATGAAGAGTCATCCCTGTCCCATCTTGTGACCACAGGAAGCCGGAGCCCTCCCTGAGCAGCACAAGGCTTCCAGGGAATAGGAAGTCTTGCTCTTCATCGTAGCTGAGCAGCTAGCTGTTTGCAAGGAGATCTGAGTAACCAAGTCATCCCCTGGTTGGACAGAAGGCACGAGAAGTGGGTGGAAAATGCCCGGCTGAGACTGTCCCAGAGTTAGCCTAAATCCCACCCCCAGACCCGGCAACTTGGAAACAATCAAGGTGCTGGGTGACAGTGGCGGTGAGGCTGAACTTTTTGTGAAGATAAGGCACTGTTTTAATTCCAGCCTCCTAGTCAACCTTAGGCACTAGATAGGCAAGGTGAAGACGGTTCTCAGACCTCACCCCCTGGGTCTTATCAGGCACACCAGATTTTTCGAGCTGGGTCAGGAAATGATTATGGTTCCAACTCTGGGGAATGACAATAGTCCACGGGGTATCCCCTTGGTTGGAAGGGATGCCCTAGGCCAGGCCCACCCCTCCTGCTCTCCAATGGGGAGGAAGTCATCCAGGTCAGGGAGGCAGAAATGGGAAAGACTGGCGAGAAGAAAGGGTCTGGGCTCCGTGTTCCCATGTGCCTTAGGTCTCTGGGCCGAAAGGGACTTTGGGTCACATACCTGCCCACCAAGTGATCCCCCAGCCTCAGGCCACCTGGCCAGCCTCTCCAGGGCTGGAGGCCTCCCTTCAAGGGTTCCCCTCTTTCCTACTACCCATTTCCTCCTCCTGTTTTACCACGCTCTCCTATAATTCCCACTGAAGCCAAGACACAGATGGAAATCTCCATCCCAAACCACGAGACTCTTCGCCTCCCTGTCCTTTTTACTCTGACCTTGGTTTCAGGGCTAAAGTATCTTCCAACTTGGTCCCTCCCTTCCCAGCCGGTCACACTGTTCTTGGGCGTTAGGGAAGACACCGGGGCCTGGTTTCCTGGTGTCTCTGCATCTCCCAGGACCTGGACAGTCTTGGTTTCCCTGGCTGTGCTCTTGGGGTAGGAACTGCAGCAGGTGGTCTGGATTGCAAAGCCAAAGGTAGATCACAACCATTCTGAAAGGGGGTTCCTGATCCAGATGTAGGCTGCCTGCCTGGGGCAAGCTCTCTCTGGGACAGCCAGAGAGCCAGGGTGCTCCCGTCACTTGGACAAGTCTCAGATCTGGTGGGCAGGGCCTCGCCTGTGACAAAGGGACCTCAGGATCCATGTCCAAAAACGGTTCCTCTCTCTGTGTGGCCCCTCAAGTGCTCTGGCAATGGACAGCCCTCACTGTCTGAAGTCTCCTGCCAGAAAAGATGCTTATGGCCCTGGGAACCTTAACTGACTTTTAGGGAACCAGAAGGTAAAATTAATTGAGCGCTAACACACTTTTGATGTGCGAGGAAAGGAAACACACCGAGCTCATCATGCATGGTGCTCTGCCTCCCATGCTCCTGTCCTCAGCTCTGAGGGCCTGCCTGGGGCTGGACGTAGGCCCTGCGGCTTCAGGGATCAGGGAAATTCAGGGGCCGCTGGGGCCCCCTTCCCCACCATGTTTTTCTTAATCTGCTCAGGCCTGCTTTAGGGGCTATGAGGTTTCCATAGGAAGCGGAGAAAGAGAATATACACCAAAGAAAGATCCTGGAGCCTGGGTATGTTCAAAGTGTGTGATCAATTTCTTTTTATTGCCATCTTAACAAAAAGACTCTGGAAGGCAATCTTCGACTCCCACATAGGAAGGTAGGGTGATTCCAGGCAATACTCAAGCCACAGGGCTGTTGGAGAGGAGGGTGTTCAGTCTGGGGGCAGGAACCCCCAAAGGACCACACAACTGGGAGATGAAGTTGAGGGCACAGGGACATGGCTGGTGCCCTCTGTTCTTTCTGTGCAGGACAAAGCATGGTCTGGGTTATGAGCAGCCCCAAGAACAGCCTCTGCAGGCACCAGGTACAGCAAGCCTCCTGCCCCTGCTGTGGCTCTAGGGGGCAGGATGAGAGGAGACAGGCAGGAGGGGGCAGGAAAGATCTGCAGGGTTTGGCCTCCAGCCACGGA